TCCTTCCTTCCCTCCACGCAGTTTACTTGGGAAGGGGTGGGGGTGGCTGGAGCAGCCAGTCAGAGAACAGCCTGCTGTTTGCTTACAGAGGGAGGGTTTCTCCTCTCTCTTTCCTCCGACCGGATTGGTGTGCTCCCCGAGAAAGAGGCGTTTTCCTAATCTCCTCCCTTCCCCACGCCTCCTGCCCCCACCCCGCGCCCCACCTTCCAGAAACCTGACTAATTGAATTACTGGGAGTGCCGAGGCGCCCTCTCCTCCGCCCGGCAGCCACGTGTAACCCTTCGGATGCTGCAGCCCATCTGGGCGGAGGGATGATTAGACGTGTTTTGACCTGGGAGGCAGATCTGTCGATGTGAAAGGAAACGCTTCGCACACGCGAGCCGGAGAGCCGAGCTCTGTCTCCGGGTCCCCTCGGGTGACATAAAGTCCCAGCAGACAGCCTGGAACGGAGCTCCCTCCGTGAAGGCGCGTCCTTGTAAATCTCTGCCCGGGTCTTCGCTTCGCTCGTTGCCTGGCGCTGGGTTATCTGCAAAGCTGAGCGTCTCTCCAGCGCCGAGCAACCTTCCTCTTCCTACCAGGGGTTTGAAGGTTCTTGAGCGGGAAGCAAGCGTGGTTTTGTGCCGTTGGTGTAGTTGTCGTTGTCGTTGTTGTTTTCAGTGATGCTCTGAAAACACTTTGGTAAAAATCGGGAGCATCAGTGTAAAGTGATCGCAATTCAGTGCGAACCTTCCACAGGGAGGAAATGGAAGCGGCAGGCGAGCCCCTCGGAAACACCTTACCCCTTTCCCAGGTCAACCTTGCCCGGTCCCTGAGAAACACGCGCCCTGAACGAACTCCAGCCCCCCGGAGCGGGGAGGAACGGGGCGGGGTGGGAGTCAAGGAGTTTGTCGTTAGAAAAGGCCCCGCGGGGCTGGACTTCCAGGGCAGGTTGCAGCCCTGGGTGGTCCGCCGCCGTCGCCGGAGCGCGGCTGCCCGGCGGCAGCGAGACGGCCCCGCGCCTCGGGACACGGCCCCCCGTCGCCCAGCGCCCGGGAAACGAGCGCGGTGTCGGTGCTGCAGGGCCACAGCCCGCCGCCCGCGGCTCCCCCGCGACCTGGCCTTGCGGGGCTCCGCGGGCTGGAGGGCCTTTGTGTTTTTCTCTTTGGCTCTCTAGGGAGTTTGCAGCCTCCGTGCTAGGACTGATTCCAAGAAAAATAAAAAATAAAAAAGGCGGTTAAGCTTTGCTCTCAAACCTGCCTGCTCTTCCCTTTGCTTATTTAGCCCAGTAAAATCAAATGTCGCGTTCTCCTCTTGCGCGCTCCAGTCCTCGGACTCGGGATTGCCAGGCGCCTCAGAGCTGTTTCGAAGCGTCCAGACGCCCTCCAGTGGTGGGTCTGCAGTCTGCACCCAGCAGGGGTATTGCCGGCAGCTCAGGCCGGATTGAGTTGGATGGAAATTCTAGGGTCACGACCCATGAAGAGTCAGGAGGAAAGAAACCGTTCACATGGGCATGAAGTTACCTGCATGTTGTGGGCTGTTGCCTAAAGGTCGAATCGTTTCTCACCTACGGGAATTTTTCCTATCCGAAGAGATCCTGAAATTATCCTAGGAAAGTATGTAACTGTTCTGTTTTGTGACTAGATATAAATTGCAGTCTGTATAATTATGGACTCCACCATGCCACAAACCAGCCTAACAAACCAACCATTTGCCTCATTAAAAAAAAAATTAAATTCAGAATATTAACACAAATGCTACTCTATCATCTGTATACTTCACAGAATTCCACTAGTAAAAAAGGAATGATAAAAGTTAAGCAAGAGAACCAAAGGATAAGCTTTTATTTTTGAAATCAAATTTTCAGATAAAACGTTATTTACTTTTTTCCCTGGTCTGTAATCTTGCTGATGTTCAAGTTCTTGGCCTATTTTAGGGCGTGTTTGTTTTCTCTGTTGCAGGAAAGATGGATTTATTTTCTTAGCTTTTCTGATAGCCGCTCTAATAGGTGCTCATATGACAGAGGCAGTATTGCAGGAAATATTCTGAACCCTTTTAAGAGATATATATGTCTTTAGGAAGAAGAGAATTCACGACTCCTGTCTTGGGGAAAATGCTGATCCTCACTGAAGAGTCTTTTTAGTCAGGGAACTATCAGGTAACAGAGAGCTAACAAGCTGGCTTCCTGTGGCATCAAAGCCAAAAGGGGTGAAGAAAAAGAAATAATATCTGCTTATTTCCCATTTGAAACACATACTGTCATCAAATGCGAAAATTCAACATATCAGAAGAATATGAATGTCCTCATATTTTAAGAATCTCCAATTGTTTAAAGGCTGAATAGCCCTACTTTAAACAGAAAAAAAATTATCATTGTGTTTTTCCTTAAAATGATTCACAGGGTTGGAACAAGATACTGGAATTTGCAGCTGTTCAGAATATAAATCAAATATGCACATAAAATAACTCATAAACCTAAATAAAATGACTCTGTCTAAGTAATTATTGGTATTGAAGTTACTAGGCAGCAATATGATGGATACAGTAAGTCCTCACTTAATGTCATCAGTAGGGTCTTGGAAACTGTGACTTGAAGCAAAACAACATATAAGAAAGCCAATTTTACCATAGGCTAGCTGATATAATCAAGGGTTAAGTTCCTGCAACATATTTCTGGTCACAAAAACATCACCAAACTTCTAAATAAAGACCAAAATACTTACAATATTAAACACTGAATATTAAACACTGAAATGTGAACTCTATATACATTTAAGAAAGATTAATAAAAACAAGTAAGATAATTATTTCCCCAGTTATTCCAGTTCAGGGTTGAAGGTGCCTGGAGCTCAGGGCACCAGGTAGGAAGAAACCCTGGACAGGACACCATTTTGCCACAGGACACACACACACACACACACACACACACACACACACACACACACACACACACACGCTACGGCTGACACACACACACACACACACACACACTACGGCTGACACACACACACACACAAACACACACACACACACACGCTACGGCTGGGACCATTGAAACATGTGCACAGCTTAGACACTATCTAATGTACACAGCTTTGGGATGCGAAAAGAAACTGGAGTACCCAGAGAAAACCCATGTAGACATGGGGAGGATGTGCAAACTCTGCCTAAACAGTGGCCCCCACCAGAGTCCATTTTTATGTTCTCATCAACATTACAACAAAATGA